AATAATAATAATAATAATAATAATAATAATAATAATAATAATAATAATGTATTATACAATACAGCCAAAACGCAAAACAACTGAGCTATTCCAACAACAAAATGCTTTGGTTCAGCTTAACTATGACCCATATTAAAGTTAAATAATTTAACTGAGTTTCTATGCCACAGACTAGTTGTTCAAGTTCAAAATGAAACACGTTTTCCATTTGTGCATATTTGCTATGTAAACAAACCCCCAGTCCCTTTTAAAAATCCAACTGCGTACAAACTGGAGGATTGTTTTACTACAAATCCATATTTTGCAGCTTAAGGGCATAGCACAATACAAAATGATTATCATTTTTTGTCTAAAATTTGTAAAGCTCAGGTACAACTACATTCTTACCAGTCTCATCCAGCATGAGAAGTAGTGAGATCTGAACGGTCATAGTGTAATTTTCTCAATCTTATTATTAAATCTTAATATTTGAAGATTTGCAAGTAAAAATATTACTGATTTAACTTGTAAGCATGTACAATAGATTTGCCAAGTGACTGTAACAATTCAAAATTTCCTGCTCTAGATTTACAACGATATTTTCCTAATTTTTCCTCCACCCTTTCTCCTGTTATTGTATGAAAACTCAGCACAAAGAAAGGAAATTAGCCACAACAAATAGGGCCAAGACTTATATTGATTCTGTAGTAGTGTATAAACAATATGAACTAAGCTCAGAAGCTAAAGCTGGCAAATCCTTGCTGTTGTTCGCTAGCAAACCTTATTGCTTTCCTAACGTGCCATCTCTTTTGAATTTTATTGGTTTTTAGAAATCTGCTCTAATCAAATTCTAACATAAGACTTTTGATTCCTTCCTAGCAGAATTACCACAAATACTACAAAGTATGTCACATGATACTGATGTCATGTGATTGCTTTGAACTGAAATATGAAACAAGAGAAGGAAACAAACAATAGGGAAAGAATATTCCCCTTTCAAAAACAGATAACATTAGGGTTGTTCACATTTTGCAAGAAGTATTCCTGCAATAAGAGGGAGCAATTTCAGGCTAACACATACCCTCCATTCACATTCCCCTGATGCAGACAGATGATACTGCATTTGTTTGGGTATAAAAACTTCCAATCTTTGCACAACCACTCTTTATGCAGATTCACTCAAATGCAAAAATCTCTTTGTGCTTGCTTTCAGATGGACCAAGAACAAAAAACTTTTGTCTCACAAATACTCCTTCCCTGCTATTCCTAATGTGGAGCAAAAGTATACCAGAAACAAATATCCCCACCAAGTCAATAAAAATTCAGTTGTTTTTTAAAGATAACAATTCCTCGAAACATCATGCCATTAAATAAACATTTGTGTAATAGTAACATGTTTCCAGGAATAAAAGCTTTAAAAAAACCCTCCTTGTTTTATGACCCTGTAATTCCTTAATTCAGGGTAGAGTTGGAGCGACTGGATGGAGCTGAGAGTTTACTGGCCGGATGCCCTTCCTGATGCCTACCCGGAGTTAAGAATAGATTTTTTTTTTTATACCTTAGGAGAGAAACATCAGCCACTTCCTAGGATTGAACTCTCAACCTCCTGAGTTGGACGCGAGAGTCTTCAGCACTGGGCTACTACGCTGCTCAATGAAAGCTCATACACATTATAAAAATATAAAGGAACATTAAAAGATGATTTAAAGATGTGACATGCTTTCAGCTGCTTTCTTCCTCTTCCTTCATTACAAAGTCATCTCCACATTATTTTGAAAGTCCCTTACTTTCAAGAACAATATTAAGGATGCAGTGGATTGCAAAGAGGCAGAAGAAAGTTGAAAAATGTCATTTGTGTGAGTTGACTTCGTTCACACATCCTTTCTCAGAATGCCTGTGGAGATTCTCATAGTTGTCTCAAAGATGCTTTTTTTTCTTCAAAAAGCAACTGGGCTTTCATCAGTTCTGATGGCAAACTTCTTGGATGAGAAACGAAACATTTTCTTTTTCCTCAAGAAGAAAAAAAGCACCTTTGAGGCATTCTTTCTCAGACTACATTTTACCAATTTTCTCTCAAAATTAATTCTATTTGGATTTTTATATCAAAGCTAGGCAACTTATGACTTTCCAGAAAGTGTTTAGTCAGTCAGATGTTAGATATGACGGGAGGGTAGTCCATCATTATTTGACAAATTCTCCATCTCTGATTTAGCAGAGCAACAAAGAATGACTTAACATTTACTGAACCAGTTAGAACAGGGCTGTCAAACTTGCGGCCCGCATGCGTCATGCACTGGCCACACCCCTGCCCAGTTTAGCAAAGGGGGAAAAGTCCCTATACATCACGTGATGCTGCCATGACGACACGAGTTTGACACCCCTGGGTTAGAATTATGAGAACACCAATAAGTTTAAAAAGCCACTAAAAATCCTTCCTTCTTAAGGAATACATTTTTATCAATTATTCTTCTTTCAGATGACAGCATAGTGCTTTTCATGTGATGATACTCATAATGGCAAAGATTAATCTTTTCTATGTCTATGAATTTTCAGCATTTTCTGATGTCTATTAGTTTTCCTACTGAAAAATATAGTACCCATAAGTATACATAGAAAAGAACACACACACACACAGACACACACTTTCACCTCTATAATGCCAGTTGGAAGAAAAATCTCCCAAGCTATCTGAGAAGCACCTCACTGAACTAGAAATGAAACAAAAAGTTACAATTGATGGGGAAGTGAAGAGGAGAGAAGCACACACATACAAAACCCCAAACCCACGAAGAACTAGACAATTCACAGCACAGAAAATACAGGTAGTCCTCATTTAATGACCACTCATTAAGCGACCACCCATTACAATGGCACTAAACGAATGATACTTATGACTGGTTCTCAAAGTTCCTGCCAGTCATCCCAACAACCCCCCGCCCCCCATGAGTGCTTGGCAACCATCTCACACTTATGACTGTTGCAGTGTCTTGCAGTCACATGAAAATCATTTGTGACAGTTCCTGCCAGCTTCCCACAAAGAAATCAATGAGGAAGCTAGCAGGAAAGATTGCAAGTCACTCCAATAAGTTGCCTATGAAGACTCTCAGTCATTCACGCCATAGTTGTATCAAAAGTAGTTTTTGTTTTTCAAAAGGCTAAAGATGTTTCGCTTCTTACCCTGGAAGCTTCATCAGTCTTACTGGATGCTGTGGGAGATGGAAGGATAGTTATTGACAGCTGAGATTTGGAGAGCGGGGGAGAATGATAGATTCTGACAGGATGATTGGGGGGGGGGAGGAAATGGAAAATATTGTGTTTCCTTTGCGGTCAACTGCTCGTAACACTCTCTGAGAACTGTTGTGGTTACTTGGGATTTTATCTGTGACCTCAGGGGTCACCTGAATCAGAGGTGTGGAGTCTTCTTGGATTCCAATAAGTTGCTTCCATTTTCTCTTACCTGGCAGTTGCCCCCCTCAGCCCCACCCATGCACCCTTCCCTGCCTGGCAGCAGCCCCACTCCCACCCCAAAGCAAACCATACTTGCACCATGCTTCACAGGCAACCCGCACATCCTCCTCTACCAACATCAGTCCTGCCTAGCCCAGTTGTGTTCATTGTCACCCACACAACTTTCCCCACCTGGCAGCAGTCACTTATCTGCCTGACAACCTGCTGGCAAGCTACCTGGGACTCAGTGACTCTGTAATCCTCACTTAACGATAGCAACGATAGCCAGTGCTGTTGCTGCTAAGCAATGTGGTTGCACAATGCTACACCTTACAACATAGTTCAGCAATAAAATTTTCATCCCACTTGCTGTCATTAGCCGAGGACTACCTGTACTTCCATAAACCCGATGGGCCTTTGGTCTGCTTTAAATTTCACAGATTGGATAAAATGAGCAAAATAAACACATTCAAATTTTACATCAAATACTTTAAAAGACATATATATGAAGACAGAGGATATGAACAAAAAAAAACAACTCAAAAAACACACTTACATGTACACCATGTTTGTGTCTAAATCAATGCAAACCACATCTTGTGGTGGCTCATACAGATCAAAATACCGTGAATCAACTCCAACTATAAATGGGACAGGAGCACTGAGCACTGTTGCCAGAGACAAAGGACAGAGGGGGATGTAGGGACACTGCCATTGAAACGGAAAGATCATCTGAAGGAAAAAATGAAACGAAACCCATCAATTAAAAAGATCATGAAATCCAGGTAACACCAAGCCATGTTAGATCATGTGAATTTCACAGCACCTGTGAGCAACATTATACAATAAATCAAATTGATCACCGCATAAATAGAATCTGAAATTATTATTTAATCCTTGTTTAGTGTGTACACAAGTCATTTAGCTGCTTGGACATGACTTCTATCAAACATACTGGGTATATATATAATTTTAAGTTCAAATAATAGGTTTTAATAAGAATTTTATTCCAGATGCTATCATGCAATTTTCATGTATCTAAATACTACTTTGTAAGCCATACCAGTCAACAGTCACTTGTGCAAATGAAAGAAATATAAGATGACTAAGATACATAATTCATAATGCCGACAAAAAAGTCTTTGTAATTATTTTGTATTTTATTTTAGGACCACTTAAATTTATTGTGTGCTGTAACAACAGTAAATTTAAAAGTTAAAGTTCTACCAAAAGATTAAGTGCATTTTTATTTCTGTTGTGGTGGTATAGCAAGTTTCCTGACCACAAACTGCTTGATATATTCATGTTATTCTAACCCTACTAATATGTTCAATCTGAATTTATATATAATCTCATTTGGATGATGAAACAGTAGTTTTTATTTATTTTTATTTCTATAGTTGCACATCTTAACAAGTAATTCTGGATGGTGTATAACATAAAAATCAAAAACCAAAATAAATATATATGGTCACTGAGGACAACTATATTATACGTCAGATACAGGAGATGAACTTCAAGAAATCTTTCATGCAATTTAAGAAATATTCTTGAAAAAAAATTAGGAGGGCAAAAATAATTAATCAGATTAAAAGAGTATCAAATAAAAGCAAAAAAATTTATTTCTGACTCTTATCTTCTTAAAATGCAGCTTGTGTATGCATTGAAAAAGCATGTATGTTTACTTCCTAACTGCATTTCAAACTAAATCAAATGGAAGCCCAGGATCCTATCAATCTTTCCAATGATAAAATAATAGCAACATAATTGTAAAAACAAACAAGTTTCTCTTCCCTAAAGGGCTTGACAATAAGCTTCTGAGAACTGGAGGACTTCTGCAGAGAATCAGGAAGAAAACTTTGATGGAGATATGTAGGATCTGTTGCCTGAGCAAAGGGGGCTGAAGTGTTTTTAAGATGAGAATGAAACAACATTTGAAGCAGGACTATAAGCAGAAAGGAGTATAGCATAATCAGACTTGCAAGATTATGGCCAATAACAATAAAAGGACTTTTAGCGTTCCTGTGTAGTTGATTTCCTGATCTTGTCTGATGGGGATGCTATCTTCTCAGAAACATAAGGAAGGAATGAAGGGGAAAAGTTGCATTGTGGGTATGGATTTGATCCAGAGAATTTGAAGATTACCAAAATACTGTGTATTATAGCAGGGTTTTGCTTTTTTTTTTTTGCTTTTTTAATGACTTTAATAACCAAAAGGTCCCATTCTGAAAATTTACAGATGTGGAAAAAGAGGGGAAAAAAGAGAGAAAGCCTATTGTTCTGATCCAATAGTTCCTTTAGGCATTTAATTAATCCTTTTGCAGCAAAAAGCTTTGAATCATTTACACTATCCTAATAGAAAATACTTGCAAGTTAATTTCCCCTTTAGGAAAATAAACAATTTAAATGACCAAGTGTGCTTCATCTTAACAAAACACCTAAACAAAACATATTTATTCTGCAATTTAAATATTTTGCTCAAGCATAAAAAACTCTTTTTTTCAGAAGGTCACGTGAAACAAAAGAAAAAAATCAAGTGTTCAATGCTTGCAAAGCAAGACAACAAATACCAAAGAACCAATCCAGATAAAAATTTGGTTATCAAAATATTCAAACTTATTAGTTCTTACAGCAGCCACAGCTTCCGCAACTCCAGTCAGCACAGCTGGACAGAGAGAATGTAGTAGAATCTTGCCTTCCAACAATACAGAGAGGAGTAAAGTAGCACAGTTTTCTGGTCCAAGGTTCATAAGCAGAGTGCTGTAGTTTGCCCCACTGCAATGAGATCAGGATATTGAGGACTGTTACATTCATTGCTCATGAATGACAATAACAATAATAATTGGTTAAAGTTATATGCCACCCAACTTCCAGCGACTATCATATACTGAGTAGTAAAATAGGGAAACCTATCCGATCCCCTTAAACAACATATGTTATTATTATCACAGAAACTTATTGAAGATAGGGACTACAGAGATAGAATGTTTAAATAATAGAAAAAAAGATTAGGGAGCGGGATGTCTGAAGTTTTTTTTATTTCTTGAAATGAGCACAAGCCATATTTGTTTGATCGTTACTTTGGTAACAGATATTTCAAACTGTCCTTCAAAACCGTTCTCTATATGTCCTATACAACAAAGCTTGGAAAATCAGGGAATTAACTCACAGAAGAGCTGTTTATCAAAGGCTATTGAGGAATTCTTTCAATTTGTCCATTTAAAAAAAAAATCAAAAAGATTAAATAGAGCTGCTTTTCAGAGAAGGTACTACTGATTACCAGTGCAATGAAACAGCTATTTCCTGTTCGAAATCAATGTGAAATTCCACTATGTTCAGTGACCGGGGGAGTGGGGATGGGCATATGTCCATTACAAAAAACAATTTGGAAACATATGCAGGTAAAATCTGAATAATTAGCATGTTGCTCATTTGCTTCTAAACAAATTATGATTTACTCTTATGTAAACTGGCTCTTAATATATTCATTTAGCCGCATCTTTAAAATACTCCACTGACTATTATTACCTGAGTGGTAAAGGTGTACAAACTGGTTGAGATAATATTAATGCATCATGGGCCGAAAGCTGTAAAAAAACAAATATTAGTTATTTGACAGTTTGAGATTAGCAAACTTTGACAGTTTGAGATTAGCCAACTAATCAATCAGGTGTTAATTTATCAATCACATTAGCCCCTGAAATATGCATTATCTACAACTATTTGCGTAGGAAACGGACATGACTAAGATAGGCATGGCCGACCAGCTGTAAATTTTGCATTTCTAATCCTCTGGCACTTCACATATATAATTATAAAGACTTTCACTGTATTTCTATAAGGTGGTTTGACATAACTGCTTTTCTACCATGAAGTGTCAGCAAGGGGTCGGGAAGAATAAGAATGGGAAACATTAGATCAACTGTCTCACCCCAGTAGGATTGGCCTGCTCTACTTGCTCCCGAAGGGGCCTGCTAGGCACCACATCAGCCAAGGAATTTTAGCTGAAGGGGCCAAGAGAAGAGCACTTTCTGCCGTGGCTCCCATCCTTTGGAACACTCTGCTCCTTGAGCTCATCCTCTGGGCCTTCCAGAAGAGCCTGAAAACCTGGATCTGCTGATTGATTGGCTTGGGGACACAATGAGGCTGTCTCATTATGAAAATGGTTGTAGACGAAGGAAATCCCACCTCCACCCTGTTTACATATTGATTCCTTTCTTAACTAGTTTTCTTTTGGTTAATTTTCAATGCTTTAATTTTTGAATGTTTTTTTTAATATTCTAGTTGTTATACAATGTTGTTTTATGATTTTGTAAGCTGTCCAGAGTTGTTCGACAGTGAGATGGGCAGAATATAAATTTAATAAATACATAAGTCACTAGCATTTTACAAATCACAGAATTCTCACTTTATGCCCCACTTTTGAGTTGCACTGTTTCAACCTTATCTGAGAAATTGGAACAATCCAACATATCAGTTCATAGTTCTGATTCCAATGCTAGTCGTTACAATAAGAGAAGTAAATAGTGAGTATTTTAATATTTTAAAACATTTAAAACATTTTAACATCAGCCTCTGTGGCGCAGTGGTTAGAATGCAGTACTGCAAGTTACTTCTGCGGCAGCCAGCTGCCTACAATTTGGCAGTTCAAATCCCACCAGGCTCAAGGTTGACTCAGCCTTCCATCCTTCCAAGGTGGGTAAAATGAGGACCCAAATTGTTGGGGGCAATATGCTGACTCTGTAAACTGCTTAGAGAGGGCTATAAAGCACTATAAAGCAGTATATAAGTCTACGTGCTATTGCTATTTATAGGAATAGTTTGATCAGATACATGGAAAATAAAGAAAGCATTATGAAGCAGTATATGAGTCTAAGGGCTAGTGATAGTATTATTTAACTGTATCAAATTTCTAACTTACCTGCACAAGGATTCTTGGTCTTTGTGGTGAAGGGAAAGGTATGTTGTGCATAAAGTGAGATATGTGCCTGTAAAGAAATTTGGTAAAGCATCTGTTACCTCAAGCATTTAAAGTATTCTGTCATCAAGAACAGCATCCAGTGAGACTTCCATGAAACAACCATGGAAACGGGAAGATATTTTTGAGGGATCTGTAACTTACTTTTCAATTGGAAGAGGATGCGGCCCAGACACAGACAGCTTATAGATAAACATCAGAAATTTTCGGAAGGCTTCAAAGAAAGGCCAGTGTGACAGAAGGCAGATGCATTTGTTGGAATTTATAGATTTGGAGGTAACTTTTTTTCTCTCTACAGCTGTCAGAAGACCAAGCTGCATGTGTTGCTTTTCATTTAATAACTCTTGTGCATAAGGCTCATAAAACTGGATAGCTGCACCATATACCTAAAGTAAAAACGGGAAAGAGTAGGAATGGCATTAACAGCTACAGAAATTGGATAAACTAACAACACTTGATCAACTAAAAAAGGAAAGAAAAATATTTCCCCACTCTGAATCCTCCACACAATCAATTAGATATCTAAAACCTCACAGTAACAATATAAACATAATTGTGATCTTTTTTATATCATTAGTGGATTATGTTTTGTGATAAAACCTAGCTTCGTCAGAGATGAGAAGTTCATTAGCATCCAAGCATCTAGTAGGCTGTAACTTATTTTTATTTGAGCTATAATTTAATTGATAATTTAATGGCATGGTTAAGCAGAATATTTAATCTTGATTCATGCATTTGAATATCTGTGTTAGAATCTTTGTTATCATATTTAGAAGCAGCTGAGCTTCAACAGTTAGGGTAAGATACACAAAGATAAGAAATGTTCCAATTATCTCCTCTAACTCCTGCACCATGAGTTTGAAATAGATTTCAAGATTTTAGTGAAGGCTTTCAAAAAGTGACATTACAAACATACACTAAGGATTATTTAAGTAGTACATAAATTAAATATTTTTCTATCCAAAATTTTATTGGTAAAATAAAGACATGGTATAAGCAGCAAATAAAGTAGTTTTTGCTTACAGAATGTTTTGTCCAGTAACTCTTCTAAATTAAAACGGTGCTGAAAAACTGACTTTATGACCAATGCCCACTTTCCAAATTTCACAGTAGTCCTCAGTCACATGATTTCAATTACACTTGTATTGTCTTGTGACTGACCTCTTCCCCCCCCCCCCCCCGCCCGCCTTTGCAGGATGGACAGATTGGAGAGGAAGGGATTACAAGAGAATAAACAGGGGAATATACAGCTGTTTGTGTGGTGCGCTCAGGGCTGTTAGCATCACTGCATTACTTTTTATGTGTATTTCCCACTGTGTGCCTGCTTACTGTCTTGTAACCCCTTCCTTTCCAATGAGTGTAAATGCAGACATTAATTCCCTTCTTGCTAATTATCCCAGTGCTCATGTGAGCATTCCAGGGTGCAGCTAAGTGGGGGGACAGGAAAGCACAACTGTAGCCCTCTGGTTTTCCACATAGCAACTCCTTTGCTTATAACAGAGCTCCTAGTTCCAATTGTGGTTGCTAAATGGGGACTAGCTGCAAACACAAAGGAGCTAACCCTTATGTTCATTTGTTGCATTTTTAGACTTGTCTTCCTAAATGCTCCAAGGTGTATCAAGATAGAGAGCATAGTGTGTGTGTGCGTATGTATGTATTTGTTTACAGTTTAAAAATAAATGTTATGGGATAAAGTAATATTTTCTTTTAGAAATTTAATAATAAATGAAAGCAAAATATTACATTTTTCGAAACATACTTTTTCTGCAGACAAGCCAGTCAAAACAAATGTTGAGAATACAGGTAGTGGGTATTTTGTTTGAGGATCCCAGCATTCAATGGTAGCCCCCATTGGAAGACAGAAGAGAGGTACTGATTCAGACAAGGGGAATGACTCGTAGTCATCTTCTGGATATCTGAATATTAAACCTTTAAAGCATGAAAATAAACAAATAAGTATTTTGTCCATACACAACAGCATGTTGTTCTTTCTATTCTGAATGCTGACTTTTTAAAAATGCCAAAGAGTATACAAGCTAAACACCACAGGGTATAAAATTAAATTTAAAAATACCCCCTCGCCTTTCAATAATTCACCCAAAAGATTCCTCTGAGTATCAAATGTTTTGCTGAATGGTCTGAATGCAAGGGACTGAAGTACAGTGAGGCATCTCCCCAAAGAACACATCCTCTAATGAAATCGCCCCTACTGGACTTACTCAGGCGAGCCTGGGTATGCAATTGACGCATAGGAGGATATTCCGCCTGTGGCTCTTCAGCGCACCCAAGGGGTGAAAATTAATGAAGAGCTGTCCCCTCTATGCCTGGCTGTTGGACCGTTATTGGTGATCCAGGGGAAGCCGCATGATAAACGGGGCAAAGAACAGGCTACAGAATCAACTGTTGCCTGCCTTCTGTATTTCCAATCTTTTGGGAGAATCCACACAATGAAGAATGCTGCTTTTCCAAAACTATCACTGAAGCCAACCTTTGCCACGTCTCTATCAGGCCAAGACTGAGTCGTGACTGGAGACTTCCTAGCCCTACAGGAAGAGGCGTGGCAAAGATTGCTGACTCAGTCTCTTGGCAGTAAGGCAGATTCAACCCATATGTGTGGATTTTTCCATAGGCATGCTGGAGAATGCCATGTTTTAACTCAAAAAATTCAGTTTCCCTATTATTTCTTGAAATCTTGACCATTCTCCTTCATTTCATTGCAATGACTTTTTATACACCAAGAGGTGTTCAATATAAGGAGATTTAATTTCCAACTAGTCTCTTTTATATATTTTGTTTTGTTTCCAATACTATATACAGAAAAGTATTAGAATGATAAGGCTCTTCATCATGCAATTCATGACTGATAAAGATACATAATGGAAAGATACAGCAAAGAGAATATAAACTGTTTTGAATCTTTTCATGACAACATCCTATATTCAAAAACTATTTTTAAGGATCCTCATCTAAGGATCACCTTAGATGAGTCAAAAGGATTAATGAATGTTCTTCGATCAAGCAATTTCAGTTCACTATTTAACAGGCAAGTTTAATGTATTACAAAATACTGTCTTAATATTAGTCTCTCCTAATATATTGCAATTTATAAAAATAAATACTTTACCAGCTTTATATGCAATTGAGTTAGAAGCTGGAACTGACTTCTTGTAACAGAGGTATACACTGGAACCCCACTGTAATGAACAAATAAGAAACATTTTCCATAACACAGGAATTATTTTATTTTTAATCCTTCTAATGCTAAAACAGTAATAATAATAATAAAGATTTGGCTCATAATACATAATAACATATTTGCAACATTAATCACAACCCAAATAAAGCACAAAATTTTGATTCTGCTATTATTAGAAGTTGTATATTTACAGATTCCAAGACACAAGACAAATAAAGTTGGTATTTGCTAATAATTCCCTCCTATATGGTAGTAAATATTTTTCACAGAAAGCTACAGAGACATGTATGCTAATATATGAAAGGCAGTTAGCTCTAATTTTAGCTCTAGCTTTTCACCTTCCCATTTTAAAAATGCATATGCTGATTTAAAGCAAGCTTGGAGACCAAATTGCAATCTTTAGTTGGCCTGATTCATGTCTAATGTGGATTTGGAAAGACTTGACTAAATTGTGGTCCACAATGAATAAATGTGGCAGATATATAGTGTAACAGGATGGTTAAAGTTAAGATAATGAAGAAACCCAAGTTGACTTCTCCAATCAAACATGCAGTTCACAAGATTACTTGGATCAGTCACTGTTTTTCAGCCCCACATATCTAACAAAACTCTTGTGTACATAAAGCCCTCAAAAGCAGAATATAAATGCAATAAGAACGTATTGTATGTGTATGTGCTGTAAATACATATATAAACAGAGCTGTTATTCATTTTCACTCAGTAACCCAATTCGTATGTGTTACAAATATAAAGACCATCTTTTTCCTTTCATAAACCAACAATCTTCCAAAGTTCAATACATACTTTTCCTCCCACCAAAAAAGTAACAGTTGCCTATCCCAAAGATTTTGGCAACAATAGTTTAGGAACAAAAAAAAAAAAAAAAAAGCAAAGCTGTGGAAACTAAAGTGATACAAACTGAATTCTGACTTAAATGCCCTTTTTACATATATTTATATATTAGCAGCACTAATAGGTTCCACATTTCCCCCACACACTGCTTTTTGAAAGGAAACTTTTCAGATAACGTATTATTCTCACCATGCCACAATTTAAATTCTTATCAACTTTGCAGAAAGTGTGAGGTGGGGTTTCTCCTTTACTAGTTACAATAACACATATGTCGGTAACAGCCAAGGAGTTCTGAGCTCGCACTGGAAGAGCCCTCCGAAAGGTGATAAAGATTCGCTGGGAAGAGGCTGAACTGTTATTGACATTTGCACAGCGGCCATAGGGAGTAGCCTGGATCACCTCACAATCTTGCTTTATGACCTCCTTCCCTTCATATAAAACTCTGCAGATAAGAGGAAATAACACATATAGGAATATTACTATTCAATAAACTGTTCAGTTATTCTTCTCTCATACACAATAGTCGGCCCCAAGACAAAGAACGCTGTGCATATTAGACCGGCAGATAAGATGAACTCCATAAAACTTTCTGGTTAAAAGATCTTAAAATTGAAGATGAAAGGTATATGATCCTTTTATTTAAAGCAAAGGAGTTGGGTTAAACCAGGGATGAGCTAGGTTTAAAACTGCCTCCATTTAGGAAAGCTTACTTTAGACAAGTCATGATAGGTAGTTTTTGACTTACACAGGTCATTTAATGATGGCTTTAATTAACAATGACCTCACAAAGCGTACAGCCTGTAAAGCACTTCTGACCATCACAAAATGTCTCAGACTCTGGGTGCTTCGCAACCTGTTCACACTTATGACCAGATGCCAAGCTCTCCATGAACATGTGACCGCCGTTTGCAATCTTCTCTGCCAGCTTCCCCAGAAAACCAGTGGGGAAGCTAGCAGGGAAGGTTGCAACCAGCTGCTCCTGCGTGCTGAGGTAACTCCTTCTTATCTCTGGGGATTGGCTGAAAAAGCTCTTTGCCAAAGGATTTCAGGTCTATGGAAGCTTGTACAAAGTGCTACGGTTGCGGTTGTTGAGTGAAACAGTCACACTATCCTTAAAGACAGGTTTGTTCAACGATCAAGATTCCAGTTCCACTTGTGGTTCCAAGTCGAGGAATACCTATCTTTCATAGCCCAACTTATTTCAAATGGCTGCTATTATGAGAAAAAGAGAGTTCATGAAGGGAAGGCAGATTATAAATCTAATAGCAACTAGATACAAGTTTTTGGACTGCAATTCCCAAATTCTCAGACCATATGGGCTTAGGAATATGGGAACTGTCATCTCAAATCATCTGGTGGCCTCAAAGTTGGGGAAGGCTATTACAAAGTTTTGTCAATTTTCACGTCTCTTTGCTATCTTTTAATTCTTTACTATGTGTAACATCTTCATCTACTTTGTAATACTATGCTTATCAACATAAAAGAGTAGCCCATTACGTATAAACCAATTAATACAACATGAGGTCTGCCAAAGGATTTCCAAATTATTTCTTTTAAAGTGAACAATACTACAAAAAAGTCTCAAAATATTTTTAGTAACATTTATCACAAAATAGTACATGTTTAGCAACAGCATTGTTCTATTTATCAGGTGGTAGCACTGACAAAATTTGGGCACATAACATGGCCACTGGTGTAGTGTCCATGAACGTTTATTTGCCTGTATATGATTCAGTTGAACAAGTACCTGTAATTTCACATTTTTTAAAATGGATTTGCAATGACAAGCATGCAATCCGTACAAAATAATATCTGATATTATCAGCTAGACTAGAACCAGTGGTTTCACAATAACTTTTTGTTACAGTTTTGCAATTATTGTATTGTTCTAGCATTCATGTTTCAAAATATTGTGGCTCAAAATCCTACGTAATGCTATACTGATGGTAGAAACTACCCACAACTATAAATAAATCACTGTCATCATATTGCACCTATATTAAGCTTAATATATTTCTGTTATGTGACATACTTATTATCATTTGTATATAGTACAACATATCCTTGTCCACATCTTCTGTGCGTGTATTTTTTCCTACAATTAAAATACTTTAAACTTCAGGGGTGGGGACAGGTTGGAAATCAACTATCACCTCTTAGCAACTGCTTTCTTTTTGCCCAATTATTATAGATTGTAGGCTACCTAAAATTCAAAACTAGTCACTGGCAGGTCCACATTAGAGTATTTTATGAACTTTGTATATTATAGAGAGATGAATGACCAAATGAATATTAGATACAGTACATCAGAAGTCATTTATAAAATCAACCATCCAATTTGCTTCAAAATAAAGAATCAGAATAATTTATATAGCACATAGCTAATAATTTACAATACAAACTAAGTAACTAACTGAGTTTCTTACAAACTAAGAAACTGCTTGTAACAATTTTAACAGATCCTTTCTCCCTTCATCACAATATTGATGCCCACAAATATTTCAATGTCAGCTTACCCAATGTCAGTAAGCGGTGGTTTGTCCCTGCTTCTCTTGTAGCAAAGAAAAAGCTCTGGACTTTTAAGACTTCCATAGTTCAAATTGGCCTGAAGTCCTGTAGGAGTTGCTTCTACACATGTATATCCCTCAGGAACAGTTTCACCTGCTGATTTGATGATCACTGCAAGGTCAGTGATTGGAGCCTTTGGACCAAAAGACTTGGTTTCAGAGCGATTTCCCTCTTGATCTAGAAGTGCTGATGTATCCGTGAGACCTGCCACTACAAAATAATCAACCACTCTTGGACCTTTATCTTCTCTCATTGTTATGCCTAGGATCCCTGCAAAAAAAAAAGTTGCTTTCAATTATCTTATCAAATTGGTAACATAATACACCTTGAGAATGCATAACGAGATAAAACATAGGTTATCAATGAAAGGTTTCCCATCACACTCAAACATGCAAATTGACTTAGTTATAATGGCTGATAAAAGCCAGGTTTATTAAAAATGCATACAAAAATTCATTAAAGTGGGAACTATAAAAAGCTTAAAAGGTTCCAACACTAGTTGAAGTAATGGAGGAAGACATTCAGCATCCAATCAAGAACCAGTCGGGTAATCCTTTTCTCCTTGAAGTTAAGATTAAAATGCAACAATGCACCTAACTGAAATAATGAATATACTTTTCCGGTAACTATTAAAAATATTAAAATGTCTCAAGAGTTACTTCAGGGGAAAGTGTACCATACAGTATAACTCAATGAGTTCTCCTTTACTAATGCAATTGTTGTACAAGTTAAAAACCTGCCTTTGTGTATAGCATAATCAAAACACATAGTGAATAAGAAAAGCAAGAAAAGAAAAAAAAAACTCCTACAAATTGTTATGCTGATTATATACACCTATAAGCCACACAGGAACATCACAACATGAAAAAAGTTTTACGTAAAAAGGACTAATATCTGTCAATCTAGAATAATCCTTCTAACTAGAAGATGAGCCTTGATAAATTACTCAAAATACAAAAATCTACTGTTCACAAAACCAGTAGTATTTCTTGCCCTATCTTGATCTAAAACATACAATATGATTTGTACTATCAAATTGTAATTAAGCATTGCTAATTCTGCCTATAGTGTGACAAGTAGGAATAACTGTCTGAAATTTCAAGTGTACATTCCAGGGACTTCTAAGCTTCCTCTTCTTACAAATCAATGAAGGCAACTTCCATGCACAACAAACACCTGTTTTGATATCATAAAACTATTTCTCTTGTTAAGAATAAGAGTATAAGAACCATTTTCTGTTTTAACAGAATAAGTATGGAGTGCTCCCACCCTCCTTACCCACATTATCTCTCAGCTCAGGGGCTGAACACCCTGCTTAGATTTAAGCTTCCTCTTGTCTCTTTTTGGAACAGCTGCCTGCTGAAAGAATTCAGATCAGTGTCTACTTAGCTTATGGCAATCCTAGCAGGCATAAAGCTGAGATCGTTCGACAAGCCTTTTAGCTCATTCTTTCATCTAGCCCTGAGACATTTGCAGGCAGCAGCAGCAGCTTGTAATATTCCCTGCTGGCTTCCCCAATGACTTTATGGGGAAGCCAGCAAAGAAGATTGCAAATGGCAATGACATGATTGTAACTGTAATTTCTGTAAAATATTGGGATGACGGAGTCTAGGATTCTAAAGAGAAAGGACGTTGGTACTTACCTGATACGCCCGTTCTCTGTGAGCTGTGAAGAGCATCCAGAAATAGGAGGTGCTTCAGTCTCTTCTGGAAAGGCTGGGCTAAAAACTCCGGGACGCTCCTCCTCCTCCATGGGACACCTCCTCAGCGTCCCCCAGTTTTGCAAAGACTGAGTGCCAAAGTCCAGAACTCATCACCTAATCTGGATCCCTGACTGGAACGGAACCCCACCAGATGGAAAGAAATGGGTGGGGCTGGATGCACTTCACAGCTCACAGAGAACGGGTGTATCAGGGAAGTACCAACACCCTTTCTCCCATGAGCTGTTCAGAACATCCAGAAGTGGGACATACCGAAGCTTGGCCTGTCCTTAGGGAGGGACTCCGTCTGGATCGAAATCCACTCTTAAACTCTGTGGACCCTCTGCAGGACTCTTCTGCCAAATGAATCGTCTGCTGAGGCTTAGACATCAATTTTATAATTTCTGACACAGGGAAATGGTGAAGCCCAAGTTGCTGCTCTGCAAATTTCGTCTATGGAAGCCCGTGTGGCCCATGCTGCTGAAGTTGCCACATTCCTTGTTGAGTGGGCTGTAATGCCCTTAGGAACTGAGATGGACTGCCATTCGTAACTTTTAGCTATGGTGGCTCTCAACCATCTACCAATGGTCGCCGACGACACCTTTTGTCCTAAAGTGGATGGGTTGAAGGATAGGAATAGAGCCTCAGATTTTCGAAATGCCGCCATGCGGTCTAGATAGATGCTTAAGGCCCTTCGAACGTCAAGTCGATGCCATTGATGCTCCAGTCTATGAGATGGTTTTGGACAAAAATCTGGAAGCACCAACTCCTGCACTCTGTGGAAGGCTGAATTTACTTTAGGAGTGAATGATGGATCCAATGTGAGAATCACTCTGTCCGCATGAAACACGCACAGGTCCTTTCTCATTGACAATGCTGCCAACTCGGAAATCCTCCTTGCTGATGTGATTGCAATTAGGAAGGCCACCTTATATGTCAGGAATTTAAGACTAGCGGTTCTTACATATGCCTATATCTATATGTAAAACTGTGCATATGGTAAACAGTATCTAAGGGTCCCCTACAAGGGAAACCCCCAAGCACTCCAAGCGAGAACTTTCTGGATCCCTGGTCCCCAACAAGGGAAACCAGCTATACAGGATCTGAGGTGGATTCTTCCCTTCAAAACAAAACGTCCCGCTGTTTAAAATGGCACTTGCAGCTTCACTCCAAAGAAATGATCCAAAGGCAATTGCAAGGAAATTCCTGTTTAATGACTAGCCTGCTTATCCAAAGTCAGTCAGACAAGGGAGAGCTAAACCCAGGGAGAACAAAGTGGGAAGGTACTGCCCCGGTCCCCAAAAAGGGAAACCAGCGGGGAATGGCGCCTGTGATATTTAGGCACGAACTTGAGCCAGTCATTGAAAAAGGCAGGAAGCCAGAATCTCCACTGCTAATGTCTGAGAAGTCTAACGAGCCGCTGTTGCTGAGGCTCTAACTTGTAAGTTAAATGCTCCTGTCAGACGAAACGGCAAGGCGAAGTGAGCCACGGCTGCGAGCGCTCCACTATGATCGCAGAGAAGACGATCAAAAAGTTAGATAAGGTAATTGCCTAGGCGGTTGTCTCAGGCTGCCTATGGTGTGGCAGGCTCCGCTAGTTACAAAGAAACTGTTTTTCAACTGATCGAGGCAACCTAATAGAGGCACAAGCTTGAAAAAAGCCAAATTAAATGGGGAAAATTTTTACAAGCCGAAATAACCCAAGAGCAAACCTGAATCAGAAAACCGTTCCAGTCAGGGAGTGCACAACCTCTTACCACGAAGGCTGAGCTAAAACTGGGAGACGCTGGGGAGGTGTCCCGTGGAGGAGGAGGAGCATCCTGGAGTTTTAAGCCCAGCCTTTCCAGAAGAGACTGAAGCACCTCCCACTCCTGGATGCTCTGAACAGCTCATGGGAGAATTTCTAGTGTTATCTCCCCTTCTCTTATTCCATTTTTTAAAATTGGGGGGTGGGGGGAGTGCTTCTCTACAGAGCAAAGGGAGAAAAATCTGCAGGTGGAAAAATCCTCAAAGTAAGGTTTCAGTTTTTTATGGCTTCCCCCTATTTTGCAATCTCACGTTTGCCCCCATTTAATAAAATAAGTTTTTTAAAAAGTGGTAGTCAGGAAAACATTTCAGAGAAAACACCATGTGGAAGATGAGAGCAAGGGGAGTACATGATAATCAGAACCATTGCACAAGATAACAAATACCTTAAGCACTTTTAAATATAGTTTAAGTGACAACATCAAACACCACCCACTTCCAATATTATCAGGAAAATACCGTAAAGAAGAACTGCAATACTGAAAGTGGGTAGTGGTGGTTTCTTTTGCTAAAAATAGTAATTCTGTAATCTAGGGAAAAGTTGTGTCAAATCACATAGCTGGCTATGGTGCAAATGACTTCTATTTTCCTTAAAGAAACACTTGTAAAAAAGAAATATACTGCAAAAAATGTTTCCAACATCCACTGACACTTTATCATATAGAAATCTTCTTTACAATACCTCACAGTGCATGAACATCCTATGGATGGCAAGAGGAACATCCCAAATAAGACTATGGGTGCCCAAAGAATCTGCATGGGAGAGGAGATGCTTCTGAAATTAATTGTAACACAGCCCATGTATTCCTAAACAGTACAAAAATTCAGAAACAATATATAATTGAATATGGCTGTGTAAAATATACACACATAAAAGTTAAACACTTGAAAATCAGCAGCTGAGTAAGAGTAACAGTACAGAACAACCGTAGTATCAGATAATGATAGCACATTACAAGCTTTAGTAGTATCTTTTTCATTTCAGCAAGTCCACTAAGGGATATTAAATCAACAAAATCCTTTTGCCTTAATCTTTTAATGAAAGGCAAGCTGAAATCACAAGATAAAGTTTTATGTAAACATTATGATCCAAGTCAGGGTCTAGACAATCGGTCACAGTCACATGGCCTTGCCCACTTCACCCAGGGTCCTAAGTTGCAGCTGACCCTTGTTCATCCTTGGCTGGTTCTCTGAAGCTGAGGCATAGGAAGCTCCGCTTCATTCTTTTTTTTCCCCTCAAGCATATATGCATACAATCTGGAAAAAAAAAAGTTCCAATGGCAGGCTGATTGAAAAGTTTTCCAGCAAGGCTAAGAAAGTCTCTCCCTCCCCCCTCCTCTCGATGTGCAGATTGGCTGCCGTGATGCACGGCTAAATGTCCCGTGCTGCAAACTGAATGGGAACAAGTGTCCCTCAGCAAATCATCTGGGATGAAGGGGTGGGGGACAAGCGCTGGGAGACCAGTGCTGGAGGAGCGCTGGCAGACAGCCAACTGAGGGTGAACGCCTGCGGTTGGCTGTGATGGGAGGGCAGGGTGAAATACAAGTGGCCATGTGGCTGTGCCCAATTGTCCCATTCTGTGCAGGTCAATAATTTCCTTCACTAAATAGAAAATTCAGAAAATTCAATAGTATACATACACTGTCAGTTATCATTACTTTCTCTTAAGTTTATTCTCTCTCTCTCTCTCTCTCTCTCTCTCTCTCTCTCTCTCTCTCTCCCGCTCCCTCCCTCCCTCCCTCTCTCCAATACCTTCTCCTTTAG